CAAGGGTGGGCTGGGGTGGGGGGTTTAGGGGAAGGTTAGAGGGGTAGGAACTGTCGTTTTTACAAAAGGAGCAACGTAAGTACCCCAAACAAACTGGTGTAAGTAAATGACACCAGTAGCACTGGTGTCATTTTAGACTTACCGATATATATATAATACACCCTCCTTAGCCTTGTGTCTTTATCAACTTCTCTGGCATTCGCTAGACCTGAGGACGATTATATGAAGTATTAATCACTCAACCTATAAAGCTAGATAAGAACATGTTATTCTGAAAGTTCATAAATTTAGCCCGGTAGACTTTCTCCGAGAATTATGTCTTGTCTAAGTCGATATGACTTCTTCTCGGAAGTAGGCTAGATCGTTGACTCTGTTTTCTAGATCCCGCTATTTAAAAGTAACATTTTAGTATAACTAAAACCAAGACTTGTTAAATTCTTTTAAGTTAGTTTCAATAAATTACCTTATTTATTTCATTAATTTTGTATTATTTTAGTTATTTTTCTCATTTTCTTGAACTTTATATCTATTATTTTTAATTTATTTAAAAGTAAGACTAATCTTTAAAAAATATCAGTAAACGATGGAGGCAGAAAGTAATTTTAAAAATTTAAATGAAAATTTAAAAAAAAATCATCAAAAATTATCTGAACTTTTATTTTGTTGCGCAAAATATGTCATTTCCGTTAACCTGCCGTTAGCAACTTACGGCAACCAAAACTCATAAATTTCAGTAAAGTGTGGATTATTATGCATCACAGTAAAAAGATAAATTATTTTTGAATGATCAGATAAATTTAGGATTATTCTGCACAATTTTTTCTTTTTATTTTTGAATTCTACACTATTTTTCATATAAAATGATTTGAAAATAATTTCAGTCAAACATCATTATTTGAAACAAATAATTTAAATGGGGATGGAGAGAGTATAATACTCCCTCGGTCCCGCAAAAAAAATCTCATTTTGACTTTTAAAGAATTTAAGGGGATAGTATTTTGGTGTTGACTTTCCAAAAATGACTTTTGATGCGATGGATAAAATATGATGTGATGGACAGATTAATAAAGAAAAAGTGTGATGTGATAAATGAGTTAAGAATTAATAGGAGTAAATATGACTTTTTAATTGAAAAGAGGAGTTTTTTTGGACGGATGAAAAATGAAAAGGAAAAAATTCTGTGGGAGGATGGAGTGTTTGATAGAGAAAATAGACAGAAAATTGCTGACAGGTACCCTCGGTTTTGTGATAAGAACTAACAGGTCCCATCTTTTTTAAAAATATACTCCGAGGTACCTTTAATTATCTGAAAACTAACTCCGGGGAGACTTTCCGTCAATCCATCCGTCAAATTCATTATCTCCGTTAACTTTTCTTCTTCTTCTTCCTAAAAATTGTTGTCAGGTAACCTCAATTTTGTATAAATAACTTCCAGGTCCCATCATTTCTAAAAATATATTTCGGGTACCCTAAAATATCCAAAAACTTGCTTTGGAAGAATTTTCCTTTATTATTATTATTATTATTATTCTTATTCTTATTCTGAGATTATTATTATTATTATTATTATTGTGATTGTTATTATTATTATTACTATTACTAATGTTACTTTTATTATAGAGTATTATTATTATTATTAGTCACTCCATCATTATCTTCCGCACTTGTAACTCGCTGCCGCATTGCTTATTGTGTTGCATTGGATTTTCGCTACACGCACTAGAATAATAATAATAATAATAATAATAATAATAATAATAATAATAATAATAATAATAATAATAATAATAATAATAATAATAGGAAAAAAAGGAAAACCCCCCATAGTAACTTTTTGGATATTTTAGGGCACCCGGAGTATATTTTTAAAAATGATAAGATCTTAAAGTTACTTTTATAAAATTGAGGGTACCTAACAACAATTTTTAGAAAGAAAATGATGAAAAGTTAACGGAGAAAATGAATTTGACAGAGGGAAAGACGGAAAGTCTCCCCGGAGTTAGTTTTTGAATAATTAAAGGTACTCCGGAGTATATTTTTTAAAAAGATGAGACCTGTAAGTTCTTATCGCAAAACTGAAAGTACCCGACTGCAATTTTCTGGAAAATAGACAATACTCAGTATTAAATTGAGCAGTCCACCGACCCGAACTAGTGGACCAAAGGCCGAGATCGAAAACGCAAACAAAAGAAAATTATAGGATCGAACTGAAAAGAGATTGGTACCCAAACCAGTTTTGACCAGGTTTCGGATCAATTCTGGAGGAGACCCAATAATGCATTCCCATAGTGACAAGTGTCTATGTGGGATATAAGACCCACCCTTTGCGTATTTATTTTTGCTTTGGATGCTTCAAAGTGTAATTGAACATCTTATCTAACTCATTTATGTCTACTCATTCCATCAAACTTATTGGAGAGACACAAATTAAATTTCAGAGCTCAAATTTCATATAAAAAAAATTCTAGCATTGTCGATTGTTGCACATATAGACACGGGATTACTGGTGTAACATTTTTTAAAAATTTGAAAAATATTGACACAATTTTTAAAATTTATGGTTTTTTTTGAAGAGTTGGAGCAAGAAACTCTTTGATGATGTAAATTACCTAATCGGGTAAACAGTACTAGACCAGTTCTAGGATTGTTTACTAGATTCGTAAAAGTGAAAAGGTAAAACACACAAAGTGATTGGGAAAACTGTAGGTGGAAACACCTGTAGCCCAATTAATATTGTGAATATAAAAGAATACACAGGAGCTTTTACACAGGAGTTTTAGAGAGAAGAGAGCAGATATTTTCCTTTGAGGGTTACAGCAGTATTTATAATAGTTAAAGGGGACAAGACGTCGCGCACTCACGTCAGGGCACGTTCCTGGGTAGTGCGAGATGACTCTCTCTGTCTTCTAGCGGTCTTGTCGCCTAGTGAAGAAGGTGGCTTCCTTGTTATGTGGTGTTCTGGACGGATTACTCAAACATCTTTAATGATTCTCTGTTGATTATGGTCGCTGAGGGATGAGTTTACTGAGAATGGGGATGAATGGGGAATAAAGTAGTTTGTCCGGCATACTTTTCGAAGTGTACCAGTTAATCTTTTGGCCAACCAATCATCTTTTAATGTTATTTTAGGCCTCTCTTTCTGAAAAATCAATCTTGATTTGAGCGCGATCCTTGACCGGTTCTGGGTGAATACACCCATTACTCTTCATCTCATGTCGTCCTTGACTCTATCATCGCATAGGCCATGGGGTGTGAGCGTTCGCATCCGATTTGGCAGCCGGTCTTGACTAGAAACTCTGCTCTCCCGATCGGGGCTCAAGGCGATGGGCATATGCATGCCGACCTGTACGATCGACATGTTTTTATTTTTTTTCACCTTTTTGACTTTTGGTTCTGAACTTTAAAAAAATATCTTTTGATGGATGAGTTTTTTAACTTAAAGTATTTATTTAAATTAAAATAATAATAAATGTTAAAAAGTCATAATTAAAAAAAGTAATTTACCTAAATAGGACTAAAACATAATGATTTTTTCAACATAGGACCATATGTTTTTATTTGTCAATGTAGAACCATTGGTCATTATTTATTAGTCATTATTTAACTAAATATCCCGTATCACTTGGACATTATTTTTCTTACTAGTCATTATTGAGTCCTATTTAGGCAATAAAAAAGTTTAAGTTTTACATTGGGAAATGACTTATATTTTAGTCTTATTCACTGTAAATTTCATAAAAAAAAGAATACGCCCCATCCTCGAGAACTCATCAAACCCAACTGAAAGGATGTAAATTGGACTTTGATCGTATATTGGTGACAAACAGTAATGTCTATGCCCAGTACTTACAGAAATCTTATGATTAGCATAGTTGCCTCTCAGCTCAAATTTTATCACTCCATCAGCTTGCAAACTGCAAAAGGCTCACCCGCCTAATTATAACGATTAAGAATGTAGAAGTGAAGATGATATTTATTACTGAACACATCTAAGCCGCCTTATATTGACCGACAAATTAAATATCAGAGCTCAATTGTGAAACCAAAAAAAAAAACCAGAGCTTGTCCATTCTTCCATATCCATCAACATGAAGAAAACAGAGCTTGTGATCATCCCAGCACCCCTCGTGGGCCATATTGTCTCCATTGTTGAGCTTGCCAAGCTTCTGCTCGACAGAGACGACCGCCTCTCCATTACCGTGCTGGTCATAAACCACCCCGTCGATCCTGCCGCTAACACCGCCGTCGACGCCGTTCTTGCCGCCGATCCAAGAATCCGGCACTCCCGTCTCCCCGAGACGGTGCAGCCGCCGCCGCCGGAAGTGCTCCACAAGTCGCCTGAGAACTTCATTTCCACCTACATAAAAAGCCATACGTCCCTTGTCAGAGACGCCATCGTCGAAGACGTGCTGCCGTCGGCCTCCGGCGACTCCTTGCTCGCCGGGATAGTGTTCGATTTCTTCTGCAGTTCGATGGTGGACGTGGCCAAGGAACTCGGAGTTCCTTCTTACCTGTTTTTCACCTCCGGCGCGGCGCTCCTCGGGTTGAATCTTTATTTTCCGGCCCGGGAGAAGGAATACACCCTATCGGATCCGGACACGGTGGTTTCCACCTTTGCCTGCCCGATTCCGGCTAGGGTTCTTCCAATGTTCGCATTTGTTGAAGAGGGTTTCAAGTCTTTCGCCGAACACGGCAGAAAATTCGCTGAGTGTGATGGAATGATCGTGAACACGTTCGAGGAATTAGAGCCACATGCTATCAAAGCTCTGTCGTCGGATCCGGATCTCCCGCCGGTTTACGCCGTCGGGCCGATGCTTTCCCCTCAGAAGCACCACGCCGGGAAGGAGGAGATCCTCGATTGGCTGTCTCAGCAACCGCCGTCGTCGGTGGTGTTTCTCTGTTTCGGAAGCCAGGGAGGGTTTGAGGCGCCCCAGATCTGTCAAATTGCGTCGGCGCTGGAGCGGAGCGGGCACCGGTTTCTCTGGTCGATTCGGCGGCCGGTTTCAATCGACACGCACGCTCCCGCCGGGGAAGTGCCCGATTTTGACCAGATCCTGCCGGAGGGGTTCGCGGAGAGGACGAGAGGCAGGGGGATGCTGTGCGGGTGGGCCCCGCAGATGGAAGTCCTGGCGCACGGCGCCACGGCGGCGTTTGTGTCCCACTGCGGGTGGAACTCGGTGCTGGAGAGCGCGTACCACGGCGTGCCGATCGTTACGTGGCCGATCTACGCGGAGCAGCAGCCGAACGCGTTCCAGGTGGCGAAGGAGCTGGGGCTGGCGGTGGAGCTGACGCTGGATTACCGGAGATCGGAGGCGGCGGAGAGGCTCATAATGGCGGACGACATAGAGAAGGCGATCAGAAGCGTGATGGATGCGGAGAATCCGGTCAAGAAACGCGCCAAGGAGATCGGAGAGATTGGGCGGAAGGCGCTAATGGACGGTGGATCTTCGTCCATCTCTCTCGACCGTTTGATCAAGGATATTACTAGTAATATCAATATCACTCTGTGCCACTAAAATTCGGTCCCACTAAATTCGGTCCTTAAATAAACAAACAAATTCTCCATACACTTTGTTCGATTGATTACTCCCTTCCTTTAAAGTTAACTACTCAGTTTATTTTTCACTATCTCCAATCTGACACTTTAATTATTAATATCTCAAATTTTATATAAATATATTTTATAAAATTATATATTTCAAAACTATGTTTCAAAGTGAATCTATTGCTAATAAATTTATATGAAAATTCAATGTATATTTTCCGTAATATATGGTCAAAGTTTAAAAAGTTTGATTACAAAAATCAAATTGGCAAGTTAATTTTAAGATTGGAAGAGTACTTTTTTTTGCCTAATTGAGGTGGATCGCACATTCTCTGCCATCGACATCGTAAGGGAACGTCCCTAATTGTTTACTACCTCCGTCCCACTTTTTTTGTCCAGTTTTGACTTTTGGAACTGTTCATCTAAGCACTTTGACTCATCAAATTCTCTCAATGTGTAAATCTAAAAATAGTCATGTGTGATCTTGTTTGATTTGTCTTAAGATATAGATTATTAATATATAATTTTTATAATTTTTTAATATACAAATTACAAGATAAAATGGATTAAAGAAGTGCATTGGATGGTGTCCAAAAATGAAAGTGGACAAAAAGAGTGGGACGGAGGGAGTATTTGTTTTTACCTTTATTTCATTACAAATCATCGACTAAAATATAAGTTTCTTCCAAAATTGGAGTCCACACTTTGATAATGCTGCATTGTACATGTGCACGTTACTATATTTTTTGGTAATATATACAGCTATATTTGGTAATTTGAATGCATTTTAACTCAAAAATTCTTTTTTGATATATTTTTAATGTTTTACTTCTACTTTAGTTTTTCTCCTATTTCATTGAGTATTTTTTATTGGAAAAATTACATAAATTAGACATGAGTTATATGGGCATAAGTTAAATTAGACATGAGTTATAAATTAGACATGAGTTATAAGGGTAAAAGGTCATTGTGGTTTTAAGGGCATAAGTGTGAGATTATAAGTGATAGTGAGTTAATTTAATGACTTCAATATGGAATGTTAATGGGGATGTTAGATATGGTTTAATGTCCTCAATATAGACACATTTTAATATGCATCTAAATAGCCTTAATCAGGAATAAATATGAGTGTGGATTATCAAATTTCTCTTACTTCAGATTTTCATTTTAAAAAAAAAAAACTCATCACAGAATTATCAAATTTCCTAAAAACATAATGTCAAACATTCAAAAAAGAATTCTAAATTCCTTAATCCCCTAATTCATATTTCATCAAAATGGCTACTTATCATGCGACTTTATACTTCCATCCAAAGAAGATGACTCACACTGCCAAAGCTTTGCATTATAATTGAAAAGATACACAATCTCATTATTATTATAAATTACATGTTTGGAAAAGAATAATTGCCCACGTCCCACTTCCATTCAGCAAAAAACGTCAAAAACTTCATAAAATTGCCTTAAACATAAATCCAATTTTACAAAAACTTCAACAAAATGCCTTTTTAATATCCTATTTCACACTTTTTTAAAATAAAAAAGATCGCACAACCAAACTTTGAATCTCAATTGAGAGTAACAATGCTTAGGAAATAATAAAAAATAATTTCTCAACTTTGATTTATCTTCGTCTGTATATCTTAGGGCTTATTCTCTTGATTGATTCTAATCTGATTTTATTAAGTTCTGATATTGTTTATGATCTAATTCTAATAAAAAAATTAATCAATAAAAAAAGAATAAGTTGGAACTAAATTCTATTCAATTTCATAAAAAAGAACCAAAATCAAACCTAAAATTTCTCAAATTAATTTAATTTAAATTTGGATTAAAATGAAAAGGACTATTTTGGGGCAAAATCCCAAACATCGTAGCATCTCTGCACATCAAATATCAAACATCATTGTAAAAAGCAATGAACAACCCCACTTCTAACAAAATTGATAAAATACAAACTACCTAAAAAATGGGATTTGAACATTTACTTCCACCAACCCAATTCGAACCTCTCCTTCATAAAGTAATTCATATAAGATAATGTTCAGGAACTAGATTTCATTTGAAATATAAGATTTCACTGCTAATATTTAAAATCTCATAATTTTAAATTCTAAATGATGTTTGGTAAATCAGAGGATTTCAATTTTGGAATTTAAATTTTGAAGTCGGCAAAGATGGTGACGGAAGCATTTTGATATTTATGGACTTGTTATTCCATAAGGGAAGATCGCTCTTCAAATCCAAGTTATAAATCAAACAATAGTGAGGCCTAAACTTGTAAATGACATAGGTGAGGTGTGGATTTGTAATTGACTTATTTTTTTGAATTCAAAAAAATAAGTCAACTAAGATTTCATTTTGTTGGGAAAATCACCTCAATTTTTCTAGCGGAAGCAATTAATAATTTTCCCGTCTTTGTGTTGTCAAAATGGGCAAAATTATATGATCGATCAAGAATAGCAAACACGACAACAAGCAATCAATCAAACGATAAACGAACACCAAGATTTAACGTGGAAACCCCAAATCGAGGAGAAAACCACGAAGCCTTCCACTAATCACCAAGAAAAATCAGTGGGTACACCAAGAATCCTCTCTAAATCAATTAGAGGTATACACAATCATCAAGGAACAACTTGGAACACCAAACCACAATAATCTTCACTCAAAAGTGAGAAAACCTCAATAAAAACGCAGCAGTAAACAGAGGCGATTTTACCGACATCGAGAGGTCAAAACAACAATCCCACCGTTGGATATGAAGAAGAGGATCTCAGGAACAACATACTAAAATTTCATCCCGATCGGAGCTCGTTTGGTCGTCGATCGGAGCACAAAACCAGGCTTCACCTCTCTTTTTCTCTCTTCTTCCTTCTCTCGGCTCTCTCTATTTCTCCTCTCTGTTTCTGCGGCTTTTCTTCTGCTCGTGACCAGCCACAAAAAAGGCTACTGCCTTTTCAAGATAAGTGGCAGCCCCCACTTTGACATTTCCTTTCTTTTTTAATAATAATAATAATAATAATAATAATAAATATTATTATTATTATTATTATTATTATATTACTCCACTACCTCTAAACAAATTACATTTTTAACACCAAGTATATTGTTTAGGAACTTCTTCCTCCATGTAGGAGGGATACCCCAACAAATCTCCCCCTCACTCCTACATGCGGGGTAAAACTTAATGATGATAAATATCATACAAACCTTTCACAACCAACTGCGCCAAGTCCGTAGGTTGTGAGCAACGCTCTCTTCTCTTCAACTTGAACACCCGATTGCTTTTGGGTGCTCGCTTGCTTCCATGCAACTTTACCAGGGAAAGACCATGTCCATTAAGCAAGGATATAACCCCATCTCGCTTGGCTTGAACCCACTCTCGTCGGTGCACCTTCTTCACTTCTTCCCGGTAGCAATCTCTCTCAAATATACCAATTTTAGGAACCCTCTGTGGCGGAACTCCATGCTCGAAATGAGGTGGCTCAAGTACATCACCATCACGAGTAACATCATCACCACAACATTTTTCTCCTTTTTCTCCCCCATGATCTGAATGTATGGAAAGAGAAGGAATATCACCTTCAGGGAGGATATTCTGACAACTCTCAAGCATGTGACCAAGCCTCTCGTGCGATAAATCCGTGGAGGGCGCAGTGTTCTGATCTCCTCTACACATCTTTGCTTGCATCACGTAAAGCCTGTTCTCTTTCTTACCTCGGGCCACGATCAAAGAACCTTTGGTGAGCTTCCACTTTTCTTCACCAAAGCGGTTAACATAACCATCTCCATCAAGTCCTCCAGCTGAAATGAGGCTGAACCGAAACTCTGGTACATGTCTGACATCTCTGAGGATCAACCTGCAACCAGTGTTAGTCTGCAAACAAACAGTGCCCATCCCAACAATCTTAGATGATTTGTCAGCACCCTTCCCCATCTTGACATAGCCAAAGTCACCGCTAGTGTAAGATGAGAAGAACTCCCGATGAGGTGTGAGATGACANTCTTACCTCGGGCCACGATCAAAGAACCTTTGGTGAGCTTCCACTTTCCTTCACCAAAGCGTTAACATAACCATCTCCATCAAGTCCTCCAGCTGAAATGAGGCTGAACCGAAACTCTGGTACATGTCTGACATCTCTGAGGATCAACCTGCAACCAGTGTTAGTCTGCAAACAAACAGTGCCCATCCCAACAATCTTAGATGATTTGTCAGCACCCTTCCCCATCTTGACATAGCCAAAGTCACCGCTAGTGTAAGATGAGAAGAACTCCCGATGAGGTGTGAGATGACAAGAGGCACATGAATCAATGATCCAAGTACAATCCTAAAAAACAACATCAAAGTTAGTGTCATCACACACGAAAAATAAATCATCCGCATCTGCAAGGGCTGCTGTGTCTTTCTCCTCTTTCTTCTCAGAAGTTTGACCATTTTCCTCTTTCTGCTGGGCTTTATCTCGCTTCATCTTTCTGCACTGAGATATCTTATGACCCGGTTTATCACAATAGAAGCATTTCACTTCGCTTCTTGATTTAGATCTCCCCCTGGATTCAAACTCTCTATGTCTGTGTCTTCCACGACCCTCTACCTCAGCAACATGAGCCTGAACTGAATAGCTGGAGGAACTCAAATCTCTTCTCCTAGCTTCTTCGTTCAGCAGACTCGACTTCACAACATCCATTGTGAGCTTACCCTCTGGAGCACTATTGCTAAGTGATACAACCAAGGTCTCCCAGCTTTCTGGCAACGAGCTGAGGAGCAACAACACCTGCAATTCATCATCTAAAACCAATTTCATAGAAGACAACTGGTTAATCAATCCCTGAAAATCATTCAAATGCTCTACCACGCTATGCCCATCCCTGTAATCAAGTTTCACAAGTCTTCTCATAATAGAGACTTTATTCAAGGCATTTTCTCTCTCGTACATGCATTTGAGTTTCTCCCACAGTTCATAGACGTTGGTATCATTAGCAACATGCTCAAACACACTATCATCAATAAATTGCCTAATCATTCTCACAGTTTTCCGAATAAGCAATTTCCAAGTACCTTCTTGTTTACCGCTTGGCATCTCCTTATTCAGGATCGGTTCATGCAAATCCTTAATATATAAAATATCTTCCATCCTGGGTTTCCAACTTTGATAATTGGAGGAGTTTAATTTAAACATTCCCCCAAAAACAGCTTTATCCTCCATTTTAACAACACAAGAAAATCACCCACAAATATGACCAGGCTCCGATACCAATTGTTGGGACTGCGCGTGCCCTCACCCCAACCCCGCATTAGTATGATATTGTCTGCTCTAGGCCAAGCCCTCACGGATTTTTTTTTGGGCACCTCCCAAAAGGCCTCATACTAATGGGGTTGGGTGAACCTATATATTTTGGTTCATTTACCCCTACTCATCCGGTGTGGGACTTGGAGGAATCCCAACACATTTCAATTCATGTATTTCAATTCCAAAATTTGAAATCTTGAATTTCAAATGATAAGGGGAGGTTCATGGATTTAAAATTAAGCTTTGTTATGAATGAGAAGAATTTGATTCAAATCCAAATTTCAAATGTATAATTGAAATTTAAAATTAAGCTTTGTTATGAATGAAATTTGAGTCAAATCCAAATTTGACATCTAAATCCATATTTCCAAACATATCATAATTAGTTCAAATTTGAATTTGAAATCTAAATAAGATCCCAAACACACAATTAAATTATGTGTATGCCCTAAATTAAATATTTCCTCCGTCCTAGTGTATTTGTTCAGTTTGACTTTTTCGAGTCAAACTAAACAAACTTTGAGCTTCAATAAAATAAAAACCGTAATGTATTTTAACATAAAAATGTTAAACTGGACTTGAAAAAGTTCAAAGTTCAAACCGCAATATAAATTTAGAGTAATTGAAGTTCAAAGTTTGTCGAGTTTGACTTGAAAAAGTCAAACTCGACAAATACATTGGAACGGATGTAGTACTTCTGAATAGTATTCACTTTGCTTCTAAAACACGAAAGCCTCACTTTCAAACAATTAATAAGCACACAGCTATCATACGGACTACGGAGTATATAGTTCGAAACTATCCTCCATTCATTTTCATTAAAAAAAACTAAAATCAAACATAAAATTACTCATGGAAATGTTATCATCATAGTGACTCAAATCAACCTCACATGAAATTAATAAGCAACTCTTTTGAAACGAAGCAACTCAGCTCAGCTGGTTGTGGAGTTACCCTTCCAGAGGAGAGGTCTCGAGTTCGAGTCCCACTATGCGCCAGTGGAACTATGCCTCCCCAAAAAACCCTTCAAGTGGTAGGGTCAAGCGGTGTTTACTAACCCGTAGGGCCAAGCCAAAGTTGGGTTTCTGGGGTATGGGGCCGCGAAAGCGGTGGGGCTAGTCACTATAAAAAGTTTACCCTACCACAGTTTTACCCGCACGGGTAGCCCAAGTGGCAAACACTTGGTGAAGTTTGGAGAATGACCAAAGATCGAAACCTGGCAGCGACCGTTGTGGAGGCGACCACCTCTAAGAAATGGGGGGAGTCTCTAGTGCGCACTAGGAAATGGTCTAGCTAAATGTTGTGCTTGGGTCACCGTGATTTACCTCCTCTCACATTCCCGTCGGGTCGGGGGTGAGGGGCGCCCGGGATGAGCGATTTCACCTTTTGGAGAATAAGCAACTCTTTTGATAAATAAAGCAATTACTCCTCCACATGAGCTTCACATCAACCTTTTTTGACTTAAGTAACTCCTTAAGAGTTCTCCATTAAAGATGTTCTGAGAAAAGCCTTAAGGGGTGTTTGTTTTTTCTGCAGGAAAAGGTCTGCGGTCTGCGGACCACTACTGTAGACATCTGCAGGAGAAGTGGTGGACCGAAGGTCTGCGGTCTGCAAGAAGAAGACTGTTTGTTTTTTTAATGTCTGTAGACTGCTATATAAATTAATGATGGTAGTGTACGGTGGTGGTGTATGGACGATTGTGGTGGTGGTGGAGGGTGGTGGTGGACGTTGACGGTGGTGGTGGTGGACGGTGGTGGCGATGGCGGTGGATGGTGGCGGTGGTGGTGGACGACGATGGTGACGGACGGTGACGGTGATGGTGGACGGTGGTGGTGGTGGACGGTGGCTGTGGACGGTTGTGGTGGTGAAGAGAAGTAGAAAAAAAAAAGATAAGATGTTAGAAAATGTTAGAAGACATTGGTTAATGTCTTCTCCAAGAAGATGCCAAGAAGACCTTTTTCAGTGAAATGTCTTCCAAAAAACAAACAATCTGCAGAGCCCATCATTTGCGCGCGTCTGCGCGGCGCAAACAAAAGACGCCAGAAGGTCTTCTGGCAGAAAAACAAACACCCCCTTAGTAAATTACATGAAGTATGTTAAATGCTCAATGACGTTAGTAAAATGTACTTGCTCCGTTTTAAAAAGAGTTGCATGTTGTTTACGAGATTTGACAAAAATTATTTTCAATTCAATTTATTTAAAATTTTAAAAGAACTTAAAAAATAAAATTTATATATTTAAAAACTACATCAAAATTCTACAAAACAGAAGACGACAAAACTATCATTTTTCTCAAATGGGTCAAGAACGTGGTTAAAATTAACCTTGTGAATAGTAAACATGCAACTTAAATTAAGACGAATGGAATGATATTCTAGACAAGGAACAAAGTAAAATAGGTAAAATAATGCTCTAGGCAAGGAACAAAGTAAAATAAGAACAAATTACTAAATATATATTAATAGTCGGTTATTTAGAGCTTAAACTCATAACTTTCAGTTTTTCTCTAGTTTCTTACCGTTTTCTCTAATCTTTTCCAAAATGTTTGTCACATTATATAAGAGAAATCGAATTTTTTACTTCATTTAAAGATTGGTATAGAAATAACCAATTTACATATTCAAAAATTAGGTTAAAAGTTTTTCAAAACAAGATTTGATATGAATATTTTATCAAATAATTGATGAAAGCGTACGAATAAATAAAAATTTGGTAATTCTAAAATAGTAAACTTTGGCATTCTCATTGAATACTTTCAATGAATTTGACTATTTTTCTTATTTGACAAATAACTAAAAATAATTTTATTATTATTTTACCCTTAATATTATATATTTATTAGGAAAAAATATCAAGAATAATCTCAACTTTACTCGTTCTTTAAAAAATATTCTAACGTCTCAACTTTACTGAAAGTTACGACTTTTGAATCACCGTTAAACAAATCACGGCCGATTAACGGATGTCTATTTTGTTCAATAAAATGCAAGTTGAGATTATTTTTTAAGAATTTTTGTTTTGAATTTATTTTTTTTTGAAATTTTCTCTTAAACTTTTAATATGAGTTTCAACCTCCATCATTTATTTTTTAAAGATTAGTCTTACAAAAAAAATATAATAAAATATTATAAAAAATAACATTAATGAGAAAAATAAAAATAGAAATTTAATGAAATAAAAAATAATCAATAAACACTAACATCAAACTGATAAGAAATAAAATTAAATTTTTTGAGTGATGGGTTCTAGCGTTTTAGGCACTATACGTAGTACTCCGTAATAATATATGGTTTCCTCCTGTTAGTAAAAAGGAAAATTAAAAAAATATTTTCTTATTAAACCACTAAAAATGAAAATAAAAAATACTCATTAAGAAATAAGGAAAAATTACTTTCTTACTTCAACGTAAATTCATTTTAGTTATTTCTTGATAAGAAAATTAGTGTTTTTATTTCTTTGTGGTTTTAATAAGAAAATAATTTTTATTTTCATATTTGACCAACAAGAAGAAATAATACATTAATACTATGTATAATGTATAAAATCTTAGAAACTGCCACTCGGTATACTTTTATTTCTTCGGAGCTTCAGGTCACTTTTTATTCATTATCTTATTTGTTTCATTAATTTGGTACGATTTTAGTTCTTTTTCGTTTTTGTTATATTCTATATCTATTTTTTATTTTATTTTGAGGTAAGACTAAACTTAAAAAAACAAGAAATGATTGAGGTATAACGTCATTTTTAAAATATAAAGAAAAATTCCAAAAAAAATTAAAAAATAAAAGTCCATAAAAAATAATCCTAATTTTCATTTTTCTTTATAAAAAAAGACTATTTTAGTTAACCCAAAACTTGTAAATTTCAGTAAAGTTGAAATTATTATAAATCACCAACAAAAATTGATTACTCCGTATTTTTTAAAGATCGAATAAAATTTAAATTATTTTAGAAAATTTTTCCTGTTTATTATATCCAATCTATCTCACAAAATCTTGTTAACTTGTTTTATAAAAAATATTTTCTATTTTTGAAATATGTAACATATTTATTAATTCGAATCTATAAATAAAATAATTTACAAAGATACAATTTTATCTTTGTAAAAGGTAATTCGATTAAACTCATCGGGTGGATGAAGTAGAGAAGTGAGTGGGATTGGTCACGGGGGGTTGACTGGGCATGATATGATATGGTTCACGGGCGGCACAGTACATACGCAAAAGGCCATAGACAAAAGTCACAAAACAACCAATAATAGTACTCTATCTCCAAATGTCACTATAAAAGAATATTTAACAATCATAAAAAAATTATTTATTTAAATATTTTTATTAATTATTTGATAAAATAAAATATTTTTGTTATCTCTTATTTTTTAAGAAAAATGGCTAAACTAAGAATAAATTTTAGAAAATATATCAAAGTAGGAATTCAATATTTTTATTTCCAAAATAAAAGTTAAAATGCATATACAATGTCAATCATGACATAAAGACGTCTCTTACAAATTTATGCAAACTCTTATTTTGAAAATTAAAATAAGACGATTATATTTTGATAATTTTTCTATGTCTTACTCCTATTTAGAATGATTTCTTTATTTATAAAGTGTAATTTTGAAAATGTAATCGTCTTATCAGCGTTAAAGACTTTGATGAACAATTTGATGGTTAAACGAATCACGTAACACGCTTTGAGATAAAAGTTATTTCGAGATATACCAAAATACTTTCATCGCATATATAAGACGTTAATCAAGAACATTCATTTCGAAATCCAGTATCACAACCATCCTTGCGAGTCTCGGAATAAATTTAATAACACAAAATAGCGAATGACATCAAAATGACCATCACACCCCTTTGGAAAGACTAGCTCCGGCGGCCGGCCACCTCCGTTTGTCGTTTATTCCCTTTGTCGTCAGAAGGAATCCCGAGGGCGATCGACGACGACGACGTACGCTCGCCGGCCATTGTTGACGCTTCTTTCATCACGCACGACCTGTTTCTGTCCCTCTCTCATTTTCATGTGTCGGCAGCCAATCACTTTTTTTTACGTGTATTTTTTTTGTCCGAAACAAGAAAAAAATACCGGCTGGCAAATTTGTACTATTCCCGCCTATTGTTTTAAGATATGGTATTGGGTCCAACAAGTTGGAGTGACGTGATCTATTCCAATTTGATTGTATCTGATTTGATCTCAGTGTAAATAATTTGATTTGGGTGGATCTGATCTGATCTTATCTGATCTGATCTGATTACATCTTATCTGATATAAATTTGATTAAAATTATTATTTTAATAGTTATAATAATAATAGAAATATTGATAATAATAATAGTAATAATAATGATAATTGAAATAATAATAATAATAATAGTAATCATAATAATAGTAATAAGAATAGTACCCGGAGTAATAATAATTTAACTATAATAATAATAATAATAATAATAATAGAAATATTAATAATAATGATAATAGTAATCATAAAAATAAGAATAGTAATAATAATATTAATAATAATAGTACTACCTCCGTCCCATTTTAAATTGCCTGTTTGTCTTTTTTCTCCGTCCCAAAATAAGTTGCATGTTAGTGTTTTCGTAAACTTTTAAAAATAAGATACCTAAACTACCTCTAAAATAAGTCAATCTTCTTCACATTATATTCTCATTCATTATCATCCCTTCTAAAAAGTATTGACAATTTTGAAAAATCGACTCTATTTTTAATTTTTTTTAAATATGCCCAAAAGTCAAAACGGGCAATTTAAAACGGGACGGAGGGAGTAATAATTATAGTAACAATAGTAATAATAGTTATAGTCATAATAATAATAATAGTAATAGTTATAATAGTAATAGTAATAATAATAGTAATAGTAATAGTAATAGTAATAGTAATAATAATAATTTTATTAATATTAATAGTAATAATAATAATAGACAACAATAATAATAACAATTATAATCATAATAATAGTAGTAATAGTAATAATACTAATAATAATGTTAATAATAATAGTAATAATAACAATAAAAATAAAAATATTAATTTTGTGTAGAAGTGATAGAGAAGACGACTCTATGCCACCCTATGAAGATACCACATAGCTACAAGGTGAGAGACGGCCAAACGAAAGCCAAAATGAGCATGGAAAAAGTGGTTAACTCTATGTCACCCTATTAAGATACCACATCGCTACAAGGCGAGAGAGGCCAAAGGAAAGCCAAAATCCAACCCCTCCTAGGGAAGACAAACCGGCCAAGGAGTACAAAGAAAACAAAGAAAGGAATAAGGGGATCCTATCATACGGATTGACCAGATCTAGTGTGATTTGATCTGATCTAATATGATTGGATCTGGTCTGATAAAGTTTGATTTGATCGGGTAAAATTTTTAATTTTTCTTATCTTACAATCTTACATGTTTAAAACAACTTTAAGTTTAAAATTTATGCAATTTATTGGGAAAACAAGTAATTTAATCTCAATTGAAACCACTTATTGTTGTTTATGAGGTTTGACTAAAACTATTTTCAATTCATTTCATTTAAAATTAGTGCAAAATTAAGAAACACATAGTAAAATTTATATATATATACATATATAAATTATATCAAAAATTTTGTAAAACTATAGGTGACATGACTATATTATTTTATCAAATGATTAACGAAAATGGATATAAAAAACATTTAAAATTTAACCATATATAAAATAGCTGACTTAAATTGAGATATACGAGCTCAAGGAAGTAATTATAATAGTAATAATAGTAATCAATCATAATTACAATTACTAGTCAATAACTTATAACAATTTGTCAATTATCAAATGAGGTGTGTATTTTCTATTCCATACTTAGCAACAACTTAATGAAATGATTGTCATTAGGAATAAGGAAAATTTACGTAAATAGTGCTAAAATATAATGAATTTCCCTAAGTAGCATCACATGTATTTTTTTTCCCAATGTAGTATTTTTAATCATTATCCATTAGTCATTATTCAAGTAAATGTTCGCCATCACTGGACATTATTAAGTGTTATTTAGGAAATAAAACAGTTTACATGCTATTCAGATAAATGACTTAAGTTTTAGTGCTATTTAGTGCAAATATTTCTTAGGAATAATGTGTATGTGTGTGTGTGTATATATATATATAGCACTAGCACACACTCACTACATCTAGTCACTCAAATACAAATTCATTCTCCCAAATTTTTTTAAAAAAAAGAGAATGAAGAAGGGCAATGATTTAGGGTGTAGTAGCAGATTGTCACTACTATCTCATCTTCTTCTTCTTCTTCTTCTACTCCAATGCCAGACATTTTTGCTTACATCTGCATGTCCTTCTTGCTCTCACCAAAACCCACCACCTCCCTATCACAAGCCAAAGCCAAAGCCCAAGCCGCCGCACGCTCATCGTAAGCCGCCACCCTGCCCCCCGCCATTGCCTCCCGTCGTAGGTCCCCCTCATCCGCACCTCCCCCCCAAGCCGCCCGTTAACCCGCCTCATCTC